AAAAAAAGAAAGTTAATTTAAGTTTATTTTGATTTTTTTTGGGTGGTTATGAGGTTGGGCAAATTGACTGATCCCGTTTTGAGATAGGGTAGAGAAAATAACAAACTATAAGGATTTAGTGAAAAAAAAAGTTTGAAATGGATTTAGGAGGTTTTAGGGATTACATAAAGGAAATTTGAAATTTTTGAGATGATGAAAAGTATTTTTAATTTTAATGTGAAAATTACTTTGCACACAGACTATTCAAAACAAATACTCAATATATTCATGGACAAATCTTTTTTATTTCATTAAAAATACTTTACTAAGAAATATGAATTTTTGTATGTGAAAGACTTGTAATATTGACTGAAAGACTGCCAAATTTCGTAAGGATATGCTAAATATATTGAAGGTTAAATATTAAATTTGTATCAACTTTAAACGAGTACAGAAGGTCACGTGACTTGGTCTAGTGACAACGTTTAGAAATTCATATAGTTAAGAACAAGTAACAGGCCCAATGTCCTGAGCTTATCAGTATAGTTAAGAACAAATTAAAGAATACTATTCTGAGCTGAATATAGATAAGAACAAATCTAGGGACAACATTTTGAGCTCAATAACACTATATAGATTTGGTCATTTTAACAGAATTGTCTAATTTGCATCCAGTTCGAAACTATTTCTTATAGTGTTCACATCGACAAAATTATTATAGATATAAGACACTGTTTTCTTTGGGCATGTTATTATTCTGTGTTCTTAGTTGCATTATTTGACTAAATAAAAATAATTTTGTGTAGTAATAACATTAGTGTAAAAAAATATGCTTAACTTTCATCGACACTGAACTACAAAAAAACAATAGGGCCAAGTATGTACTATATTTCCTATTTTTCATGTGTATTCTTTATTTATTATTATAAAAGTAATAAAATGTAAAACTTAGAAACTTATTACGTTAGATAATGAAAAAATATTTCATGATTATGCCCATGAGCAGCTCGTTCTTTATCGTAATTCGATACGATAAAATGAGCTGCATGTTTGCCCAGTGACTTTCAACTTGTCAAAGGTTCAAATAGCAATAAAACAATAAAGTCAAGTATAAACAGATGTATATCAGCTATTTAAGATTACAAAAAAAATTATGTTACAATCTGCAATCATTCTAAAAAGGGTAATTTAGATTAATTTTGTATATTTTTTTATGGTAGTTACTAGATTAGTCAAAAAGTTAGGGTAGAGAACATAACAGGTAAAATATAGTTTTGTAGAATGAATAGTATTTTTAATCTAAACATGAAAATCACTCTGCACTCGGAACAGTCAACACTAGGATTCTATACACTCACAGACAAATGTTTTTGTTCAAAAGGTTTGTTATGTTTAACGAAAACTTGTCATATTTGTAAACTCTGGTGGCCACTTTTGGAGCACCAGCATGATAGAATCAACCGAAACCATAGCAAGAGAGTTAATGTGGTAAATGTATCTTCAAGAAATGTGATGAGCTTTAAGTAACCTTTACGAATCAACACAAAAAGTGTATGTTTTTAATTAAGTATTTTTACTAAAGATGAGTCTGAATTTATGGAGTCACAGTCTGACTTGAGACTGACTAATCTGAGAATAAATGTTTTGAGCAAAAATTTTTTCTTTTTTCAGTGAAGATTTATATTTTATCCATTATTTTATCTGTTTTAAGAAGAAAAAAATTACAGTTACCCTAAACAGCCTCAAGCTCATAACAGTTTACATCTCCTTTTGATTTTATTGTTTTGTTGCTCTTTGAGCCCTGTAACTAGTAAGCCTGCATAAGAAGTAAAAAATCATCTAGCAAACTAATAACTCAAGTGTTCTTATCTAGCCTAACAAGTTCCTAATTTTTATATTTTAGTTACTTTTATAACATTAAAAAATTATGTAAAAACAAGAAATTTGGTACATGTGTGGATGTTTGCAGTAAAAAACTAAGTGTTAATAAGAGTTAACTAATTTTGCTAGTGTTGTTATTAGTACTTTACTGAATTTTAATCCATTTCAAATATTCAACTTGGAACAAAATAACACATACAGAGCATAATGTCTTATAACTATTATAATTTTACTGGCTTTCTAAATCAAGCTATGATTACATTAAAAAAATTCCTTCAACTCTTTCAATACGGGGTCTGTCAATGTGATGACCTCGTAACCATTTTGTGCTTGTTATAGTTTTCATGCTATAAC